CACCTTGGCCACCTGGGCACCTAGGTCCAACACCGAGGCGCCTGAACCAAGAATCTAGACGCCAGGCTGGCCAAGTAGACTACAAAATTCACATAAAGTATCCGTGGAAGGGTCTTAAGGATTTCTTTAACATGGGAGGCTAAAAATAAATGTACCATGATCCTCAAACACTTAAATAAATATCCAAGATGTGTCAAATCAGATAAATGATTCCAACTATCAGTAAACAATCTTGATTACGTCCATGTCAGTCTAACCCCTAATTTTGCGATTGAAGAATCTATTGAAGTTTTCATAAGTCTGTAAGTTATGGGAAGATACATATTAATGAAAAATGGTCCCATAAATTTAAAATGGATATTTTACAAGTGTCAGATAAACAATTGATTTCAACTAGTGGTAATCACTTCAGGCATGACCATAGTGGGGAAAATCCTAATTTCATGCTTGAAGCATCCATTGATGATTTTATGGATTCCTCAAGTTATGTGAAGCTGTGGTTCCATAACATTTAAAAGAACATCCTACATGTCTAAAATAAAGAAGATTCCATTGCATGCATCAGTATATGACACAGGCCCATCAGATCGAAGTCTTGATTTTGCATGCTGAGTATGCACCCTGATATGCGCCAAAGAATTTTTGTGGATTTCTTGAGCTACGAGGAGTCATATGAGAATGAAATTTGGTTCCCTAGCCTTTGCAAGGACATCCTACAAATGTGGCATCAAAAATTGATGCCAACAACAACCATCCAGACCCAAGTAGTCAAGGCGCCGCAGAGCTGATCTCAGTGTTTGTGCTTTGCAGACATGGCAAACCCAAGTTAGGTTTCACAATGATGCCTGTGCAATAAGTGTTATCGAAGTGCAAATCACGGAAGGGCGCCACAATGTTGGGAAAGATGGAGCAACGCTGATTTGGCAAATGCATTAGCCTTTTCCCATGTGCTCTTATGATTGTAATAATATTGGGACCTCTAAAGGGTGTTGGAGTTCCTAAACTTAATTGGTTTGAGACGACATGATAAATATACACAGTGGAGCAGAAAATCATGTCACACACCTTATATATGAAAATAGTCATGATTTCATTAATCTCCAAAAAATATTACATATTTTATAAACATGGAAGAAAATACTAGAGAAAACAACAAATTCATTCATCTAGAGAAGAAAATGCTGAAACAATAACAAAAGAAGAATGAGACATTACACAACCCCTGGGTCGGGTAGTCATCTGCCTCCCACGGTATTGTGCTTTGCTACCTCGCTCGTCCCTCTCTCCAAACTATGATCATGAGGAGAACGTTGGAGCGCCTTTCATCACCTTTCATAGACTTCCCTATGCTATTTGGCCAACCTATCCGACAGTCGCTTTATGTGGGCGAGCCAATTTATGATTTGGTCCAGCCATCCCGTGAAGTCGTGTAACCTCTTGTTAAAGTCTGAAGTGTTTTCCCTCAGCCCACCGAGATCTTGGGATATAGTGGTACGATAAAATGCCTTCGTGCGAGCGAGCCAGACATTGATGCATAGGCTTCTCTAGATTAAGTCATTATCCAGCGAGTGAAAAGTTCTAGATTCGATCATCGCGTCGTTGCTTCAGTCCCTCTCTGATGGTAGAACTGGGGAAAGATTGGTTCCTTGCCTTATCACACTAGTGTGTTGTCCTAGCATCTCTAACAAGGAATTTAAAAAGGTCAAAAAATTGTAGGGTTCTACTATGACAAAACAATGTATAGACTATTGGACCATGCACCCTATTTTAGATAATCGGGCAACCAGGCCCCTGCACCGCATCGCAGTGCCAGACCGGTATCTTAACTTTTACAGGTGGGGACCATAAATTATGTGCTATGTGTGTAAATGATCCTATTTTAATTTAAAGTTACGTTGACATGTGCTGGTACTTCATATTGTTGCTTGTGTGCATGATTTAAATTAAATTTATTATGCTATTTTTATGCAATTTATTTTGTTAGTTATACGCATTTTTTTAACTAAAACTATGTTGATATACGTTAATTATTTATTTATTTTGTTCTATGTATGTCTAAATTAAAACTATTTTGATATAAATTTATAAGTTTTGCGCTAGTTTTTATATGTTTTAAGTTTTTATTATATATATGTAATTAATTTAGGTAATTTTTTTTTACATATGAATATAATTTGTTTATATAGCTTTATTTATGAGTTAAAGTGATATTATTTTGATATATGTATTAAATGCAATTATGAAAATTAGCTCGTTAGAAATAGTCATTGGATGAAACTTTATAACAAACGAATTACAATCATAAATAATTACAATACATTGGATTAAACTTAAAAATAAAGAACAAGCACAAAGAATATTGGATGAAGTTATAGTTTAATTAAAGTGTTTTGATCCAAACAACCATAATTAATTTTAGAAGCACAAAATATTAACCTTAAGTTTACATGGATAGAAAGAAAATAGATAGACACTCTCACCATTGGCTAGTAATGAGTATATATTTTAATCATCCCGAGATGTGCTACAGGACAACTTATATGTTTATCATGTCCACTAATTCTTGTCCACAGAACTTAAAAAAAATATAATAGATGTATACTTATTAACATTGATAATTGAATTCAAAAAATATTATAAGAGAAATTTATGGCCACACAAAATAGGCTTTTGAGGAAAAAAAAAACATTTAAAAGAAATTTTTATTCATATAAAAAATTAGTGATTTTTTTTGCATATGCTAAGTTGTTAGATTCAAGCATTATTAGAAAATTAGTTTGCCTATCTTGAATAATGTTATAAACAATATTCACAATAAAAAGATTGAAAATTTGAAATATTTAATTTGAATTGCGTTATCAAGCATTTAATATGATATTTTTAAGGCAAGTACATATTTCTTTGATCAATATTCCAAAAAATTAAACATTGGGAGATAAAGCTATGCAATATGCAATGAGAGAGAGTGTGTGATTATACTACATAAATAAGATACAGTGATAGATTTAATAATAGTAAAGATACATCATATGTCATAAGAGTAATTATATAACATCAAAAGGTATGTCGAATACGTCATGAAGGTGATTGGAACCACTGCATAGCCAAATTTGTATAGGTATTAACAGAAGTGTGAATCATTGTATAGATGGGACTGTAGTGTGTCCTAGAAGTGTTAGCAGTGATTTAGGTGAGGTAACATTATGAAACTTAAGGGATATGACTGAAGCATAAAAGAAATTATGATGTAAATCATGCAGAACATTATCGTAGCTTAAGTGAATCTTGATATGGGTCTTGAGAGATCTGGATGTGAAGGAAGTGAGGCTTTGTTTAAGTTCGGATGAGATAAAAAATACTTTCCATGTGACATTATGCTATATATGTTGAAGATGAAGGTTGTGATGAAAATTTAGGACATAACTATGACAACCAAGATATTGGTATAGATCTTAAAGAAGTTATTTTTGACATTCGTGAGGTTACAGTACTAGCCATTAAAGAGATGACTATGGAAAAAGCTATGATATATTGAATACCTAGAAGTGCTACCATCATAACATAAGTGAGGCATAAGCCATGGAAGAGTTAGGTACAACAAAAGCATTATTGTGGCAAATGTTTTCAAGAAGGAAAATTTAGCCAATAGGAACTTTTCGAGGAACTAAAAATATTTAAGTCCCCAAACTTTATAAAAATTCTAACAGTGAGATTGAGAAGAGTACTGTCATTCATTTTATAGGCAATTAGAAAGCAATGATGATATCTTACCCTATTTTACTGAAAATTTTAAATCATTAATATCCATTTGACATAAAGTAGATGTTTGTGTAGTTCAAAAACTCCATGGGTGTTGAAAACTTCCCCAATGACTTAGATAATAACGAATATATCAATGTGATCAATTGCATGCGATGTGAAAAATACTATTGTTGGGCATGTGCACCCATTTCAATTCTCACTTGTTTGCTTGGGCTCTTACATGATTCCATATTGTTAAAATTATCATTATGAGATGGGTAGTTCGACAACAATTTCACCCTACTTAAATTTCTTTCATTCTATTAAATAGCAATGTTCCAGATGCTATGTAAGTAATTATTCCCAATTAACTTTTAACCATAGTTGAGCATTTATTTAGCTCTTTGAACCATTTGACATACATATCTTGCGATAAAAATTATGCTTGGACGCTAGAAATTTTTATGGCCCAATAATAAAATAAATACAATTCTCACTAAATTTTTGAGCTAGGGTAAATTTTTTTCATGTAATTATTTTTCCTATTAATTTATGTTTTGGGGAGATCATAACAAATCTTGGTCATTTTTTAACCTTAATCCTGTTCCATCAAATGTTAACTTCTTAATGGGGTTAAAATCTAGAATTTTAATGCATGCCTATGGTTGTTTCATGTGTTTGAACACTAATCGCAAGATATGCCAAATAATCCCAAGTAATGTCAAATAATAATCATATAATCTCCCCAAATTTAAAATAATAAAGATAGGGGTTTGGTTAATTTCTTATCATTAGTGTATTACCAACCACTTATTATCATTCATGCTTGTTCAACAAACATGCAAACCTCATTTGTCCAAAATCAAATATGAAATATGATTTGTGACCCACATCAGTGTTGATAACTTTAAATATAGCATTTTTAGTAAAGGGACTTTTACTATGCTTATTTTTCAGGGTTCGAAGTAGGTGTGTAAATGAATCGAACTAATCTCGAGTCATGTTTTAGTCGAGCTCAACTCCTTCTGTTAAAAATATAAGATTGAATTCAAGCTCAAATGACAAGCTCGAACACGACTCATTGCTCTAACAGTAAACTCATGCGTTCAAATGAATAATATTAAAATTTACTTTAATTAAATCATAAAATAAAATAGAGCTCCATATTTTTAATGTTATTTTGGTTTAAGCTTAGTCATAAATTTTCTTATAAATATGAATATGAAGCATCATTCGTATGAAATTTTTCCAAATATAAATACTGATGCCACCTGAGAAAAAGTGCAGGGAAAAGGAATGGAGAGCTATTCCATGGAAGCAGAGTGCCCTGTTTTCCCTGTTGCCCCGGTTTTATCTCCAAAATCCATCCCCAGCTTCACCTTTACAAAGAAAAATTCTAAGATAAACAAGAAGAAATCCGAGAATCCGAGAAGAATGGACGAGGAAGTAGTGTGGGAGGCCGAACCTGATTGGGTGTGGCCATCGAAAGGGAGGATCGGTGGTGCGGTGATGCTTGAGGGTTACGTTGAAGGGGCTGATAGCGGAGAGAAGGGATCCGAGGGTGGATGTGATGCGGTAGGGAGGACGAAGAGCTTGACGGATGAAGATCTCGAGGATTTGAAAGGGTGTTTGGATCTAGGGTTTGGGTTCAACTATGAGGAGATCCCGGAGCTTTGCAACACGCTGCCCGCCCTCGAGCTTTGTTACTCGATGAGCCAGAAGTTCCTTGATGAGCAGCAGAGGCATTCGGCTGACAGCGGGTTGGGGGATGATTGTGGCTCGGCGGTACCGTCAGCGCCCATAGCTAGTTGGAAGATTTCCAGCCCTGGTAATGATGGTTTAACTGATCTTGATCTTAGGCAGCTGCTCCTTTTAAACGATCTGTTGTGTTTATCGATCTGAGTATATGAATGCTTTGATTAGTGGAGATTACTGCTCATATTTTGCGGTTTTCTTTTGGAGATCCATCGAGTGTTTGGACATTTTGCTGATTTTTTTTTCTCTGAAGAAATTGGGTTTCATGATTTTCTTCTGATAACGGTATTTCATTTTTTTGTGGAATTGGTTTCTCGAATTAACCGATATCTATTTTAGATAAACATTTGATCTTATAGGTCTTTGTTTGTGCTCTCGGATCCCTTTCTATGATTATTTTCTTCCGTAATTTCCAGAAAATCGTGTTTATAGATATTTCCCTACCGAATAAATGGCCTGCTGCCTTCTTTCCTTCTCGTAGGAAGTGGAATCTTGGACGAAATAGCCAAATATTTGATTATTTCAACTATTGCACATTGGAAGAAATGCGTTTCTGTTTAACTCATAATTGATGCTATTAATAGTTCCATTTTTATGACTTGTGCGTTTCAAAATAATTTATTAAGCGCGAACTATCTAAAATTAAACTGAAGATCTTTCAATATTCTTCCAGACAGTTCTTTTTTTTCAGAGAGTTTTTTTTCCAATTTCTTAAAACATTTTTAGTTAATTATGCTGTTATTTTATATGTTAGAAAAAAGCTGAACTTCTTAGAGCTGTAAACGATGAAATCTTTGCATCCCTTGTCATTTGATCAGGAGATAGTCCGGATGAAGTTAAGGCAAGACTGAAGTATTGGGCACAAGCAGTGGCCTGTACTGTCAGATTATGCAACTAAAGCCCAGTTTTCAAAATCTCCATGGCTTCTCTTACAAAGCCAGATCCAGTTTCTACTTAATATATTTCTTAACAGATTCTCAGTCGTTGGCCAGCCAGCATATGGTGCTTTGTTTGTATCGCTGCAGATGATCTACCTGGAATATGATTTATAATTGCATATTATTAAAACCGAGGTATTAACGAAGAGACGGAGGGGAGATTTGTAATATTATGTTTATATATTAAGTATCTACTCTTCTATTTTTGGAGAGATTTTTTTGTTTTATCCATCATGTACTATTTTAGAACTTTTACAAGCATACCCTGCATTTCTTTTGTATTTATATGTCTACCACCAAACACTTTCATATCTATACACATGACACTCAAAAATTTAATGTCAAATAAAAAAATTACTATTATTTTTATTATCTTAAAGTGAAATATATATTTTTACGCATAGATTTATTACAACAGAGCAGATTAAATGTAAATATTCAATTTTAGATGTTGATATGTAAATACATAAGAATTGTATGGTATGTGAGTAAATTTCTCTATTTTATAAACTTCTATGATTAAAAAATAGAGCTAATTTATAGAAACAAGAACATGAGCCATCATTATAAACATAGAACGTATGGGCAAAATGTTATATAATCTTAGAAAGACTAGAAAACTCTTATTGCTTGTTAGGTGCAATTTAGAATAAAGTTCATGAGAATCAGGGTCCGTTTGGGGCAACTTGTGCGTTTCAGGATAAACTGCTTATCCTGAAACGCGGCCCGCGGGCCGG